TGTGGCATGATCAATCCCATGCTCTCTCTCTCTCTCTCTCTCTCTCTTTCTCTCTCTCTCCTCTCTCTTAGGTGAATTTTAAAAAATGTTCTCTGTCAAATTTTAAAAAACGTTGCAACGGTATTCAAAAGTAATATGGGTCCAAAATTTTCTTTGATTCAGTCAGTGTACTTTTGAGTACAATCTTTCAAATCTCAGTTCTGCTGGAAGATATGAAAACAGCCTTGGGAAACAGTGTTAAAGATGAACCTGACTCCAGCAGCAGCTAAAATTGAAAAATGGAAAGGGATACAGAATCTTTCAGGGAAAAAAAAAATCTAGAGTCCTGATTTGACAGGAAAAAACAATTAATATACCATTCATTCTTGTGGCTAAAATAATCCATTGCTAAGGCTTAACATTCTTACGTCTCCCTGTATAGCAACTCCAATTAGCAGTGAGTTTGATACACATACCTTTTCTTCCAACAGCTATTGCCAAGCACGTCCCATCTCTAAAAATGTTTCTATTCTTTCCCAGAGTAAACAGCAAACGGGGCTTGAAGAAATAAGAAATCTGCAGAAAGACAGAGCAACACCCACCCAGAGGGACTCTTGCTGCCTAAAGCCATTTGGCTTTGACGAGAGAACTGAGCAACCAGCTGAGGTTCAGAAGCTAAGATGAAAGAGTTCAAGGGTTTTCCGCCAAAAACCCATCACCCAGTCTAATCATGCGCATAGCATCAGCCAAATCCTAAGGAAGGCACATCCTACAAAATTTCTGACCTGTACACCTCAGATGTCAAGGTCATCAACAACAAAGAAAGTCTGAGAAACTGTCGCTGCCAAAACTAACCCAAGGACTCCTTAGCTACCAGTGGTGAGTCTGTGGGGGGGGCTAAGTCTGTGGGAGGGTGAGTCTGTGGGAGGTTGAGCTCTGGGAGGTTGAGCTGTGGGAAGTTGGCCTCTGGTCGGCCCTCAGTGGTCTTTGCTGGCCCGGGGTGCCAAGAGGCTCCTCATATGGTCGGTCCCTCTTTGTCATCAGCTCCTGATTTCCACAGCCTATCAGGAAAATGTCTCCATTCAACCCTCATGTCTGGTCTCTGGGTCCAGAATCTCTGAGAGTCCAGGCTGTTCTGAGATTTGATTGTCCTGTTTCTCGCCTGGTGTGGAGACAAGGTCCTTCTGCTCCTTTGCAATCAGCCTGGTGTTATCACCAAGAAATGTCTCCAAATCTCCCCTAAGATGTCATTCTAGAAAGAAGGACTAGGCCCAGTTCCTCAGGTGTACTTCAGAGACATGAGGGCATTTTTGCTTTGTCCTCGATCTGTCCTCATGAGTCTTTAGAGCAGGTAGTACCTGTTCGGAAAACCTGTAACAAAACCCATCACAAGAGACTTATTTCAACTAGGCAGCAAAACTGTCCTGTCAGGACATTCCCAAGTCAAAACACAGGTGTCAGGGCCTGGCCTAGCTCTCCTGGGTGATGATCCTGCTGGGCCGGGCACCACCGCTGCAAGGGCTGGTTCTGGGCACGTCGGTCCGCTGGGATCCCAGCCGAGGCTGTAGACTGTCCTTATCACAACCCGTTTCCTTGTCATTTGCATTCCGTTCCATTCAGCTTCTCCCTACCAGGTTTTCGACACATGGAGTCGATCCGAAAAAGGACGGTTTGTGGTTTGACTCTGGTCCAGAATAACAAGATTGTTAGAAAAACACAAAAAACGATTTTGAAACGAGGAAGTTGTCTCTAGGGGATATTTGTCCAACGCTCCCAGGCTTCTAGACAGGGCAGGTCTGGTGCTGGAGAGATCTCAGCATAATAACTGGGTTTTTTCTTTCACTTTTTCTTATGGAATAGTTCAAACTCACACAAAAGTAGAGAGAACCGTATAATGAACCTTTGGCTTCAGTAATGATCTCCTTCTGGCCAATCAGGGGGCCGTGTCTTTTCAACCACCCCTTCACCACCCTCCCTCTCACATTACGTTAAATCACTTCATCTACAACTATCCCATAGACCTCTCTAAAAGCTTACAACTCTCTTTAAAAATATATAGTTATATTCTGTTGTTATAATATAGCTATATTCTGTTGTTACTTCTAAAAACTCAACCGTAATTCCTTAATATTCAGTGTTCAAATGTATCCATTGCCCCCAAATATTTTTTCCCTATATTATTTAATTCATTTAGTTTTATATTTTGTTTCACTCTGAATCAAAGCAAGATCCACAGAGGGCTAGATGACGGTGCAGGGGTGAAACACAACACTGTGAGGGTAACCCACAGGAGAGGTTCCGGGTTCACGTTCAGTGACCTCCTAGCGTATGCCAGACACACACATGCCCAACGATGCAGGTCCGGCTGGAGCTGGGGGTAGATGACGGCATCAGGACCCTGATGGGTGCCCATCTCCCTACTTCTGTTTCTCACTCTTCCGTCTTTCTTGTTAATGGAAAAAAAAAAAAAGAATCAACTTTAAAAAAAACTAGATCCATCCAATTGCAACTGGTTGATAGTCTCCTTATAAAGTTTCCTTTTCTCCTGTCTCCCATCTCTCTCAACATTTTTCTCACATTCCCTCCTTCCGCTTTTTATGTGTTTGTTTGTTTGTTTGTTTGTTTGTTTGAACTGTTAATAGCCAAAGATCTTGAAATGGAACTTGAGGACAACTAAGTAGATAAAGTATCTTCCCTCACTATTTGACAAGGTGACTGACTCCCTTTGCCATTGGGAGCGGTGTTCCTTTTTCCTATATATGCTTCTTATCCAGCAGATCACTCCATTTGTCTGGAAGATTAAAAGGAAACTCAGGTACACAAGCAAAATTAACCTGTTTATTTTCCAGTGTTAAATATAAACACTGAGGCCTTGAATTTCAAGCAATCAACATTTATCTATACAAAGAATGTACTTGTTTACAACAGCATCTGGTTTGGTTTGGTTTTTAATAACCTGGTTGTACTCACTCATCCTGTCCCACTCCTGTTTGCAATCAGTTTAGCCACAAGAGAAAAAGAGAGAGAGAGAGAGAAGAAAAGTTGAGATATTTAATGCATTGTCCCAGAAATGTGTTTGGGTTTCTTCACAGACAACACAAACAGCCTGCAGTGTTGAAATGTTAATCCGAAAGTGGTGTAACAGGCTCCTTCCCGCCCCCCAGGCCCCCTCTTATCTTTTCTCTTCCTGTCCCAAGGGTCCCCCAGGCCTAAATGGTTTTTATTAAAAAACAGCAGGCCAGCATGATAGGGAAGGGAAGGGTGCACTGGGTTCCCAGTACAGGATTTGGGTCAGATCCTTGGTCCATACTCTCTGACAATGACCTTCTAGAACACTGACCCAGAAAAACCAGGACTGTCGTCCTAACACCCTAGCTTTCCCTA